AATACCTACGATTTACTACGCGTAACTCATCCAACTTGAGCTCAAATCGTACACAGTACATTCGCCTAGCATCGTGCGAAATCGTTTCCAGCAATCGTATACACCAGCAATCCGGAGATACAGACTAAAACGTACGACACGATTCTCCATTCTTTGGCCATCAATCCAAAGCCATTGCGCGCCTCTAATTCAAACAAAAGGCAGCTACACTGCTGCGCGGTCGCTGTGCTTGCACTCTCGGAATGTGGAATGTTGCGATTTCGCACGATGCTAGGCGAATGTACTGTGTCCGATTTCAGCTCAAGTTGGATGAGTTACGCGTAGTAAATCGTAGGTATTATAAGGCTAGTAAATGACGAATTTTCCTTGTTTATTGATGTCACACTTCTGTTAGGAGATCAAGGGGCGAGTTAAAGGTCAAGGTTCATTGTATTTAGGGGACAGTTTCACTCTTTGTGTGTATGAAATGATGCGAGTATGCACAAGTATTTTAATGTGTGCCTGTCTGCGACTGATCATCGTTGACTGCCCTGCATTCATTCATCATACATTCCTAAATTACTGCAGCACTAAACTGTGTCCCAACATTACTTCCATGCAGGGAGCTGCATTTGGCCGTCTTGTCGAGGAATCTGGATGAAGTGAAATCTGTTGTGAACAAGTTGCACCAGGCTAAAGACTTCGCTGCCGTCGACGCTCGAAACTGGTCGGCACAGGTGAGTTGAAATGATTACGTCACCGTAAATAGTAAAAGTAAAAAAATTATGTCCACTTTTTCACGAAATGTATATGATTCTGTTTACTTTTTATTGTTAAATTCCTGCATTATACTTGCTATTTTGCTATTCCGTTTGATGTGAACAAACATTCGTGACTCATACATAGCCCATAGCAAGCATCTAATGTCGTGATCAATATATAAAATCGCCCAGTTTTTTTAGCTCACCTTGACATCGTCAAGATGAGCTATTGCCATGGGGTGTCGTCCGTTCGTCCGTCTGTCCGTCAACATTTGGCTACGGTCAACGATAACTTGAGAACCGTTTGACCCACATGTTTCAAATTGCATACAGTTGTTACTCCTATGGGAGAGATTTGAACGTCCTGTTTTGTAGCACGCCAGTCGACCTACTTTCGAGCCACGCCCACTTTTTGGCAAAAATGAAAATGGCCATCTAGATTCATTAGATTTTGTTAAATTTTGGTATGTGAATGTGTAAGGCTACCCCAAAACAGTTGTTACTCCTGTGGGAGAGATGACAGCGTCTTATTTTGGAGCACGCCAGTTGACCTACTTTTGAGTCATTCTAAACTGCGTGTTTGCTGCAGTTTTTTTTGGGGGGGGTTGCGATTTACGCATATATAATAATCAAGAGTATATAATGGGATATATATGCTATATAATGAGAGAACGTTCTCCCATATATACTCTTGTTTTATATAATGTAGGTGGATAGTTGCTGAATTAAAAATGACTTGTTGGCACTCGCTCATTTGTGTACTTTTTTGTGGTGAGCTATAGTGTCATTGACACTTTCATTTTTTAACTAGTTGAGAAACAATCTTATCAGGTAAGAATTTGAGGCTACATTTATTGCCATTAGTACTTACTTTTCATGTAAAAAAAATTGTAAAAACATTTTACAAATATAAGCCTTAGAAAATTCGTGACGTAGTCAATTTAACTCTAGCTTTACTCATGTAGCCGATTGCGTCCGCCATACAGAACGATATGGACAACAGCGCGCCGCCGTGAAACGGGAGCGAATCTTTGCGGCATGGCCGACGAGGATGTAGCAACAAACGACAATGAAAAAATACACTAGCCGACAACATAAATGTCTGGACTTTAGCCGACCACTGTCAAACCAAATTCAGCTCACCATG